GTAATTTACACTTTTACCTTTGGATTAAAAATATTTATTGTAAATAATAACAATTACAATAAAATTATATTAATAGGTATAATTTATTAAAAAATAATAAATAATGATAATAATAATAATAAATATTAGAAAAATAATAAGAATCATAATAAATAATAATGATACTAATTATAATAAATAATAATAATATTAATAATAATAATAATAATAATAATATTTATAATAATAAATAATAATAACAAAATATGTTATGATAATTATATTTTCTAACATTATTTTATTAATGTTTATGAAAGTGTTATTATTTTAATTTTATAAACATGTATTATTTTATTTTATTTTTATATTTCTACTTTTTGATGTCAATATTTAAATAATAAAATTTTCTTAATATAAAAAAAATGTACAATAAATTTTTTGAAAGTTAATTAATAAATTAAAAAAATTGATAAATGATTGACATAAATTAGAATGAAATGAATATACATTTGTTAATTGTACAAGTTAATTTTTATCAATTAAAAAATTAAGAAATTTTTTAAATTACAAATTTGGGGTTGCATTTTATGCCAATTTGGAACGGTCCGTTCTTAACTAGGGTTTTTAAGCCAATTTACTAGTTTGGAACGGCCCGTTCCAGTTTCGGAACGGCCTATTCTAGGCTACTAAACTACTCTTGTTTTGGTAGTTTGGAACGGCACGTTCTGGGCACGCCTGGAAGCGAAAATATGCCACATAATCGATTATGTATGACACATAATCGATTATGTACCATGCATAACCGATTATGCTGGCCCATAATCGATTATGTGCCACCATAATCGATTATGTATGCCCCATAATCGATTATGGGCTGCGATAATCGATTATGCTTCGTAATGGCACAGTCTCTGCATGCATGGAATAGGGGTATTATCGAGTTTTCTCAAATCTTACGTGGCTTTCATCTCTTTTCTTCGCAAAAATGTGAAGACGCCAACGCCCCTTCTCCCACTTTTCTTCGCCTTTCTTTCCTCGTAAATCAGTAAAAACAAACGTACAATTTCCTCGCCTTTCGTTTGTCGTGAACAATAAATCAGCGGAAACAAACACTACCTTAATGTTGAAGGATTGTGGTTAGAGCATGAAAGCAACATGTGACTCTCAATTACATGAACGGTTGCTTGATTTAATTATTTCAGACACTTTTCGTTTGGGATCTCAGTCCCATCACTACATACCTTCTCTGGATGTTCTCGTTATATACTTCATGTTATCTTCAAATTAACTATATATTTTGTTTTATATTTTATTCTCTCTATTCTTATGAACATGCAATTCATTTTTTTCATTTGTGTTAAAAAAAACTATTCTATAACCTCCTAAATCATGATTGTTAGAGATATTTTTTCTGTTATTTTACAACATTGATATTAATTATATGGTATTCGCATGATAATACCATAAGGTTCTTTTAAATTTCCAGCAACAACCAAGGTTTAATCACATCCACCGCACTGCACCTATGATACAAGTTGGCATCCGTATGATAAAATCATAGTTCCATAATATTAGTTTACCACAATTAGTATTTAGTCACATGAATTAATTCATATTTCTCTTTCTTTATTTGTGTCATGAGTATATTTTTAATTCATATTTCTCTTTCATAGTTATTTTTAAGGGATTAAAGCATCTTTGCTTCATAGTTATTAATTCAAATTTTTCCAGTTTAGTTGACACTTTAATTCTCAATATTTGCTTAAATTTGCTTGTTGAATATATGGAGAAAGGTATTGTATTTTTTAACTTATAAAATACATAAAAGAGCTCATATAATGTATTCATTGTTTGATATCTTGTATTTAAATTTTAGTATAATGTTTATTACTCATTTGTGACTAACAGGGGAAGCCATAATCATTGAAATTCAAGAGCAATACGATAACTTGAATGTCAATGAGACTCCATCACTGGATCGAGTCAACGAGATGGGAACGAGTCCATAATCATTTGTGACTACATGGACGTGTTGTTTTTAGTGAAGACGAACCATATAACTTGTATAATGCATATTCATATACAATTGGTTTTAGTATCTGCAAGGCCAAGCCTAGATATTAGTATTACCATAGAACACCATAGATTCAATTAAAGGATTTTTGTTGCTCTTGTGAAGGCTTTAAAGATGAAAAAGATCCCTTAAAAGAAGTTAAATTTAATAAGTTATATGTAAGGTGTGACAATCAAGCAATGATGTGGCTGGTCATTCATGTGATAAACCATAATCATTATCTTGAACTTCCACGTACATGAGAGACAATATTTGTTATGTTTTGCTCAAGAGATCACTACTGAAAAGGCAAATTGCAATAATGATATGGTTAACTCGGGCATAAGTGTGAAAGATAATTTCAACTACATGTCACAAGGAGTCGGAGGTCCTGAGAAAGTTGGATTCACACAAAGGGATTGTTACAGTCATGTGAACATGCAAAAATGATGATGATTGAAGCTATAGATGCTCATAATCTAAATAAATCATTTAAGCTTAAGCAAAAAGATCATATGTTTCTTTTACATAGAGCAAAGTGGACTAAGAAGGTAGACTCAATAATTTCTTTTGGAGGGATAGGAGATCAAGAATTGATTATGATGATGCATTTGGAGATGTTGTAGTATTTGACACCACTTACCGTACAAACAAAGTCAACAATCATCGGCAGAATGTTATGTTTGGATGTGCTTTCTTAATTATTCAATGAGAAGATAGAATCTTTTGTGAGGTTTGTTTAGATCTTTTTTTAGATGCAATGAGTGATCAAGCTCGTAAAACCATTTTCACAGATCAAGATCAAGCTATGGCAAAGGCAATTGAAAAGGTATATTTCCCCACACTTCTCATCGTCTATGTTTATGACACAAGTAAAAATGCTGTTGATCATTTAGATCCTATAAGTAAAAGAAATGAGTTCATGTCAATGTTTAACAAGTGCTTGCAAGGTTGTGAATCAAAGAATGAATTTCAAATGACAGGGATGAAATGATATTACCAAATTTGAATGCCAAGAACATAGATGGTTAAGAAATTTGTACAAACTACATAAGTGGTGCACAGGATTGAATAAAGGCATTTTTTCAGCTAATATTTTGTCGACTCAAAGGAGAGTACAAACAATGTTTTATCTGGCTTATCAAATGCAACCATAAATCTTACAAAATGTGCACATGCTTCTAATAACTTGTTTAAAAGGTGGCGTCAATGTGAAAAAAAGCCGTAGCCAAGTCGATTCAGAAAGAGGTACTCCAGATATTATATTTAAGGATAGTGCCTTATTGAGACATGCTGCAAGGATATACACAATACCAGTATTAAAAATATTTCAAAGTGAGTGTATGTGTCAATGTTCTTGCTTCAACATGGTCATTAATCTCACAAAATGCAACTTATAGTTATGAAGTGAAATCTCAAGGAAGTAGAAAAAATGAAAAATGGTCAAAAGACACGTATAGTATATATTTGACGCTTCTACTTTGAGTGTCTCATGTAGTTGCAAAAGGTTTGGATCAATGGGCATCGTTTGTTCTCATGCTTTGACGGTGCATGTTTTTAATAATGTATCTTTGATTTCTATTCAATACATTTTGACTCGTTGGATAAAATATTAAAATTGAATTTAAAACTAAATAAAAAAGATAAATTAAAAGAGATAAGAGGTTGGGTTAAATTCTAAAAACACTCTTGTTTGAGAAAATCAACCGAAAATATATTTTGAATTGACTTTTAAAATTACGTTAGAATCATATATATATATATTTGCTCCAACACACTTTTTGTACAAACATATAGTGGATATGCACCGATGGTCATTGTCTTTGTATGTATAGTTAAAACAAATGGTGGTGGCCACTCTAGCTGAATCTGGCATGAATCTTCCAGATGACGTGGTTGAATCCATCATTGACAAGGTGTTTCTTTATCTTACAACTTCATTGTGTGTGTGTGTAAAAGTTATATTTAAGTTTGTTAAACTCTTTGCTATTTTCTAATTTATATTTATTCATAAAAATTAAGAATTTGTAATAAATAATATTTAATATATATATATATATATATATATATGTGTGTGTGTGTGTGAGAAAAGAATTATAAGTTTTGGTATAATTAACATATTAAAATTAAAGATTTAATTAAAATCATTTAAAACAAATGAAAATAAAAAGATAATTAATTATCAAATTAAAAGGTAAATTATCATGTCACAATATCCTTCAATGTAAATTAATAAAATTATAACAGCATTAGTGGAAGAAAGATTTAATTACAAGCTTTTTAAATCATAATGGTATTTTTAAAATATTTTAAACTATAGGGACTTAATTAAAAATTTGATAAAATTATAAGGACCAACAAATTAATTTTATCCTATTTTTATTTATATTCCATTACTATTTAAAAAAAAATATTTTGAATATAAATATATAAAATTTTCTGGCAGCAAAAGATTATATGTGCATCGGCAACGGAATCCACTTTTTAATATAGTGTTCAAATCGTATTGTCTTATATAAATGACTGTGTTATTTAAATAAATACATAAAAAAAATTAATATCCACTTGAAAATTAGAAGAAAAAAAAAGTGTCATTTAAAAAGAATTTTCTAGATTAAATTAAATTGGATGGATAATTAGTTTATGTTCAATTTCCTTTTTACAGTCCCCATACCATGTCTTAAATTCCAAACAATAAAGTTAATTTCAAAACTGTGGACGGCGATTCTAGTCTATAACTCAAACCGTTCCCTCATTTGATTGGGTCATCGTTTCACGATGTAATCAAAGACGACATCACCTTAAATGAAGAAGGATAATTAATGAGTTAAACTTATTCTACTACCACACTATCACTTGAAAGGCTTTCCGTTTTCCAAGTTTTTCAATTTCCCTTCAAAATTTCCTGTGTACGAAGAGACCCTGTTAATGCTAATAATTAAGTCGAGATTTCCAATGTCTAGGCAGACATAAGTCTTTCAAAGCTGAATTCAATTATAGTGTATCTCAATCTTCATTCACTTGAAACAGAATGGCCAAAGATCACGAATTCGCCATAGGAATTGACCTTGGTACAACTTACTCGTGTGTTGCAGTATGGCAGGAGCAACAGTGTCGAGTGGAAATCATCCATAATGACCAAGGCAAGAACACCACTCCTTCTTCTGTTGCTTTCACGGAACATGAAAGGTTGATCGGTGATGCGGCTGAAAATCAAGCTGCCACCAACCCCGAGAACACTGTCTTTGGTATATTTTTCAACTTAAATCGTTTGTCTTCCGTTAAATATCTTCACTGCAGTCATGATTTTCATGTATACAAACAAATTATCAAATTTCTTGTAACTTTTGCAGATGCTAAGAGGTTGATCGGTAGAAAATACAGTGATCCCATTATTCAAAAGGATAAAATGTTGTGGCCATTCAAGGTCATTGCTGGTATTAATGACAAGCCCATGATTTCTGTTAAGTACAAAGGTCAAGTGAAGCACCTTTCAGCTGAGGAAGTATCATCTATGATCCTTGCAAAGATGCGAGAGATTGCAGAGGCGTGTTTGGAAGCACCAGTGAAGAATGCTGTTATTACTGTTCCTGCTTATTTCAATGATTCTCAGCGAAAAGCCACCAAAGATGCTGCCATCATTGCTGGCCTCAATGTAATGCGGATAATCAATGAACCCACTGCTGCAGCTATTGCATATGGCCTTGAGAAGAAAAATAATTGCGTCGGAGAGCGAAATATTTTCATATTTGACCTTGGTGGTGGTACTTTTGACGTGTCTCTCCTCACAATTAAGGATAAGGTTTTTGAAGTTAAGGCTACAGCAGGAAACACTCATCTTGGGGGAGAGGACTTCGACAACAGAATGGTGAACTACATGGTGCAAGAGTTTAAAAGGAAGAATAAAGTGGACATTGGTGGTAACCCAAGAGCCCTAAGAAGGTTGAGAAATGCATGTGAGAAGGCTAAAAGGGTACTCTCGCATGCTGTTACTACCTACATTGAGTTAGATGCTTTATTCGAGGGCATTGACTTGTGTTGTTCGATCAGTCGTGCAAAGTTTGAGGAAATCAATATGGAGCTCTTTGAAGAGTGTATGGAGACAGTAGACAAGTGTCTTACTTATGCTAAGATGGACAAGAGCAGTGTGCATGATGTTGTCCTTGTTGGTGGTTCTTCTAGGATTCCCAAAGTGCAACAACTACTTGAGGACTTTTTCCGAAGGAAGGATTTGTGCAAGAGCATCAATCCTGACGAGGCTGTTGCTTGTGGTGCAGCTGTGCAGGCTGCTTTGTTGTGTGAAGGCATTAAGAATGTTCCAAACGTGGTATTGTTGGATGTTACACCGTTGTCACTTGGTTGGAAATTACAAGGAGATATCATGGGTGTTGTGATTCCTAAGAATACTACTATTCCGGCGATGAAGACAAAAGACTTTGTCACAATTGAAGATAACCAATCCAGAGTGTTTATCCAGGTTTATGAGGGTGAGAGAACAAGAGCCACTGATAACAACTTGTTGGGTTCCTTCACGCTTTCTGGTCTTCTTCCAGCTCCTCGTGGCCATCCATTTGACGTGTGCTTTGCCATAGATGAAAACGGTATCTTATCTGTCTCTGCCGAGGATAAGACTTCAGGCAATAAAAATGAGATTACCATAGTCAATGATCAAGGAAGATTGTCAGCACAAGAAATTAGAAGAATGATTCAAGAAGCAGAGGATTACCAGGCTGAAGATAAGAAATTCCTAAGGAAGGCCAAAGCAATGAATGATTTGGATTTGTACATTTACAAGATCAATAATGCTCTAAAAAAGAAGGATATCAACTCAAAGCTTAGCTCAAAAGAAAAGAAGGATATCAGTTCTGAAATTTGTAGGGCCAGAGATTTACTTGATGCTAATAACCTGCAACAGCAAGATGATATACTTGTATTTGAGGATTGCCTGGAAGAGCTTGTGGCCATCTATGAACGTGTCATGGGTACGTAAGATTAGTTAGTACTTGGTAGTTTTTCATTCGTGATTTTCCTTATGTTGCTGACTTTCTATTTTGTTATATGCCGTAAATGCAAACTTTTATGATTGTTTTTATAAGATAATTTAAGTTTGACCACTTAGTACTGGATAATTTATTTAAATTTGTTGTGTGGCTGACTAGTGCACTCAATATTCTAATTTATCCTTGGACTTGTTTCATGCCTACCACTTACTCGTTTCGAAAGTTTATGTATTCCTGACGAAAAAAAAAAAGAGATAATTTTATTTTCATTTATAAACTATTTTTTAATTTATATTTGTTATAATATGTTTTACTTACAATGGTATTTTACGTAATATCTGAAATAATAAAATAGTATTACAAGACCAAGAAATATGATAAAAAGTAAAAATAAACCACCTGTTAGAATAGTCATAAATTATAAAGAATTGTAAAATAATATTGTCATAGTAAAAGTGCTAAAATAACAAACAAACAAAATTCACCACATAAAATAGAAAATTGAATTGAATTCTAATATAAGAAGAATTGCTTGTTCGTGATGGAAGGCGACCTGAACTACACACATTCACCCCTGCTACCAAGAGCTCAGATAGGGGTGTTCAAAAAATTAAATTAAATTAAATTATTGTAAAAATTAAACTAAACTAGATTATAAAAAATTAAACTAAATTTTATAAAAATTAAACTAAACCATATTTTAAGTTTAGTTTTTAAAACTAAATTATTATAAAAAGTAGTTTAGTGCACTGTAATTATAAAAAAATTTATTAGGAAATGTTTTAAATAATTAATTAGAATTAAACTAATAAATAACTAAATTGGATTAAACTAGAAAAAAACTAAATTATATTTATAAAAATTGAACTAAAATAAATTTTATGTTCAGTTTTATAAATCTAAAACTATTTTCTAAAGAGTAGTTTGTTAGACCAAATTGTTAATAAAATTGATTTCTCATTATTAATGTCTTTTTTGTAACTTTTCAATTTTACTTATTGTCGATTATTGAGTTAGTATCCTAGTGACTTAGTATTACTGTGCATAACTACACATTTTTGTTTTGGTTATAGAATTTTTCTATGATGATTTAATTTACAGGATTAAAAGAAAAAATTAATTTTCATTTATTAATTGAATAAATATTTATATACCTTTGATAATTATTACTCTTTTTGTATTTTTAATATAATTATTATAAAAATTTAAAAATGTATTATATATTTGTGTACAAACTTATCTCTTTATTATTCAAATAATTTTATTTTTGATGCTAAAATATATTAATATTTTAATAAAAAAAATATAATATTAATTAGTTGAGTTTAACAATTGAGTTTGCAATATTATAAAAGTAACAGTATATAATTTGATAATATTTTTTAAAAGTCAAACTATTTTGTAAATAACACATTAACTAAAAAGATAGTTACATGTAATATTTTGTTACTAATTTACAGGATTAGAGGAGGAAGAGGTGGAGGAAGAATTTACAGGATTAGAGGAGGAGGAGGTGGAGGAGGAGGAGGGATGGAGGAGGAATTTACAGGATTAGAAGAGGAGGAGGAGGAGGAGGTGGAGGAGGTGGAGGAGGAGGAGGAGGAGGAGGATTTGTAGTAGGTGTAGTCGGACTAGTGGAGGAGGAGGAGGAGGAGGAAGAGGAGATGGAGGAGGAGGAGGAGGTGGAGGAGGAGGAGGAGGAGGAGGAAAATATATTTTAGATACAGTCTTTATTTTCCTTGCTTGACAAAATATATTTAGGCGTCAATTTCTAATTAAGTAATTTTAGTCATCCAAGTATTATAATCATATGATTTTAGTCTCTTAATTTTTAATTGAGCAATTTGAATCCTTTAAATATTTTAGTTGTACAATTTTAGTTTTTAATCGAATAATTTTAATCCTTCAAGTATTGCAGTTGTGTGAGTTTAATATTTTTGTTAAAAATATATAGTTTATGTTGATACAGTTCTAATTACCGACTTGATATATTGATATTTCTAATTAATTTTATGCTACTATATTAATCTTATCTAACATATTTATATTTATGAAAATATTAATTCATATATAAATACATTATCAATAATATTATGATACTAATAATATATACAAATTTTATTTATTTAGTAGTAATATATATATATATATATATATATATATATATATATAATTTTAAAAGAGGAAGAATTCACTTCAATAGTAAGTCTATCTATAATTATTTTTCAATAATTAGTGTTTTATATCAATTTTTAACAATTCAATCGTTGAATTAAAAGTTATATAGACCTATTATGTAAATTTAACACAAAATAAAAATTATTTGATACTCAATTTCATTAATTTAAATTGACAGATTATCATAAAAATATTTTATATATCAATTTGAATTAATGAAATTGAGTATATTAAGTAGTTTTCAAATTTTTAAGAATTTGCAAACTTTATTTATATATTACGAACTTTTAATTCAACGATTTGATTGTTGAACAAACTACAATTTTAGTTGAGTTTAGTTCACATGTTGTTTAGTTCAACTATTTAAGCAGTCCTAATTTTAGATACTGTCTTCATTTTCCTTACTTGACAAAATATATTTTTAGAAGAAAAAAAAACTTAAATGCATTTATCACAATTTATAATTTTAGGCGTCAATTTCTAATTAAGTAATTTTAGTCATCCAAGTTATATTCGTATAATTTTAGTCTCTTAATTTTTAATTGAGCAATTTGAACCCTTTAAGTATTTTAGTTATACAACTTTGATTTATTAGTTTTTGATCGAATAATTTTAATTCTTCAAGTATTGCAATTGTGTGAGTTTAGTATTTTTCGTTAAAAATATATAATTTATGTTGATCCAGTTACTTGATATATTAATATTTCTAATTAATTTTATGCTACTATATTAATCTTATTCAATATATTTATATTTATGAAAATATTAATTCATTTATAAATACATTATCAATAATATTATGATACTAATAATGTATACAAATTTTTTTTATTTAGTAGTAATATCGTATTTTCAACCATGTTCCTCCTCTAATATAAATGCGTGATTTGTGTTTGGGATCCATGTTCCTCCCAATTTTTAAATGTCCTCAGTTGTGGTGAATGGGATCCTAGTCATCAAAACTCTGACCCACAGTATCTTGATTCCAATTCAGAAACATGCAACGTGGCAATCACCAAAGCCATTGGCATTAGCATGAATCATCCAATAAGGGATGACCTTATCCTATCCGTTATCTTACTCACACCATAGCCACCAAATAATTGTGCTCTCTCCACTCACAAAAACACTTGCAAACTGGTTTGTTTGGTAGAGTAAGAGAGAGTTGGTGGCAATGGCAGCGTCACTACAAGCAGCAGCTACCCTCATGCAACCCACCAAGTTGGGTAGAAGCAACACATGGCAGCTTAAGTCCAATCACTCCATTTCTAAGGCTTTTGGTTTGGAACCCCTTGGAGCTAAGGTCACATGCTCCCTTCAGGCTGATCTTAAGGACTTGGCTCACAAGTGTGTTGATGCTACCAAAATTGCAGGATTCGCCCTTGCCACCTCTGCTCTCGTTGTCTCAGTATGTTACCTTCTGTTCTTCCAATTTCATACTATCTTCTTTTTTTATCCATGAAATCAAGCATGGTACCATAATTTATAACAATTCACACACAAACTTCACCAACTGAGTTAGACTTCCTTGTTCTAATTTGATAAATTGATACTATAATCTATCATTGACTGTGTGCATTCCCACGCAATTTACTATCATTCATATTTCATTGAACAATTGGGTATCTTCTGTTAATTACTAAGAGCACCCGTGTCCCTTCAACTTTGCTGTCAAATTTTGTGTTCATCTTTCTCTTTCGTTATGCAATAGGATTCGTTTGATGAATGATCTTCTGGTTTATGAGTAGTAACCGTCAATATGATTAGGGAGGTCAATGATAAATGTTACATTGGGATAATCAAATGATTCTAACAGTCTAACATCAGTAATTTAATTGTCATGAGATATTCAACATTAGAGCTTTATGATCCCAACCAAACTTGTGGTCTTCAGTCTTAACCACATATCTTCACACAACTTGAATGAGGTATCAATTTGTGCTACGAAGTCACTGCGAGTGTCAAGCTTAAGACTCAGCCTTGCAAATAATTAGCTGTAGTTGACGAGACGGGTTTACTAATGCCATGCTCAGTTCATTATGCAGTATAAGTAGTCAAATTCGTCCTTAAAAGACATGCATTCTGTGGTCAAATCAGTTTTCATGTCACAAATTTTGAAGACTAGTTTGTTTGACTAACCTAATACATCCATTCATAATCAAATATGGACACATATTACCAAAATAAAACTTTAAATTTGAGTGAAAAACGACATCAACGGTATCTATAGTATTGCATCTAAGTTTGATGATTGTAATTTCTATTGCTGGGAAGGCTTAGTAATACGAAGTTCTTTTTTGTAATACGCTTTGTTATTAGCTTATACTTATTAGAACACACCAAATCATATATTTAATGAGTCTAGCACATGATTGTGTAAGTCCTAGTAAGTAGTAACTGTTCTTAACATATATTTGACTATAACTGTTGATCTCTATTGGCATTGTTCAGGGGGCAGGTGCTGAAGGTGTTCCAAAGCGACTAACCTACGACGAAATCCAGAGCAAGACCTACTTGGAAGTGAAGGGAACAGGAACAGCAAACCAGTGCCCAACCATAGATGGTGGAGTGGACTCATTCGCCTTCAAGGCAGGGAAATACGAGGCCAAGAAGCTCTGCCTTGAGCCAACTTCATTCACAGTGAAGGCCGAGGGAGTGACCAAGAACGCCCCACTAGAGTTCCAAAACACAAAGCTCATGACACGCTTGACCTACACTCTTGACGAGATCGAGGGACCCTTTGAGGTGTCTTCTGACGGCACCGTCAAGTTTGAGGAGAAGGACGGCATCGACTACGCCGCCGTGACAGTCCAGCTGCCCGGCGGCGAGCGCGTGCCGTTCCTCTTCACAATCAAGCAGTTGGTGGCGTCAGGGAAGCCAGACGGCTTCAGTGGGGAGTTTTTAGTCCCTTCATACCGTGGAAGCTCTTTCTTGGACCCCAAGGGAAGGGGTGCTTCCACGGGTTATGACAATGCGGTTGCTTTGCCTGCTGGAGGAAGAGGAGATGAGGAGGAACTTGCCAAGGAGAACAACAAGAGTGCCTCATCATCCAAGGGGAAGATCACCTTGAGTGTCACCAAGACCAAGCCTGAGACTGGTGAGGTTATTGGTGTGTTTGAGAGTGTTCAGCCTTCTGACACTGATTTAGGAGCTAAGGCTCCTAAAGATGTCAAGATCCAGGGCATCTGGTATGCTCAGCTTGAGTCATAGACTCTTTCTTTTATGCTTTGCTTTTCTATTTTGTTGGTTCAGATTTTGTTGCAACTCTCCTATCACCCAACTTTCCTACCACCGAGAGCACTGTCGTGTTTGTATATTATATCTACCTCCAATTACCATGCCTAAAATTTCAAAGTTTGAATTCGTGGGGTGTGTGAGTTTTGAATCCTAGAAAATTTGAAACTTAACTCAATTTTACAAAATTAATTTCTGAGGTTAAAATTGTCTCTCACTTATATTCATATATAATATTTTAACCATATATTCAATCGATATGAGATCTCCAATACAAACTTTTCATGTTAAGGAACGAACATCTTGAGCGTGAATTTTACAAGATTAAACATCTTTAAATGGTTTGATAACAATTGATCTAATAAATAAGTTCATCAACAATCAATAATCTCCCAAAGGTAAACTCTAATAGCATCTTCAAATATAAATTTAAGCCTAAATCATCCCCATAAAATTGGCTCATAAAAAAATATGGTTTTGGACTTTTAGGAAAAAGAATGAAGAAAAAATTAATGATACGAAGTAGTGTATTAGAACTAGAAATGCCAAGAGTTACAAAAGATTACAATGGGCTTATATAGGCAACTAATTTCCTACATCTCTAATGGTTGAAATTGCATCATATGTGTTTCATTACATCTTATATGCTAGTAACTAGGGAAACATTGCATATGAAGAGGATTGCAATTGACTATAAGAGAAAGCTTGGATTTGTCATCATATGTACTTTGAATATGATACTACTCTATCCTTTTTCCATATTCAATGGATTGACAACACATAAATGTAATAATATTCTCAACTCGATGTGGTTGACAAAAACATACCAAACTTTTTTATGTTTGACAATAATATATTTTCCACTAAATCATGTTTATTAGATTATAGCTCATAGGAATAGGATTTGACATACGGACAAGATCCAAATTATTGAAATATAGCACGAACTAGCGGTGAATGAAATATTAAACCGATTCATTTAACATCTTTTTAGATCACAAAAATTTGTAGAAATGTTAGGCTTAGTATTAAGAACCTACTAGTAAATTACGGTTTAACTACAAAAAAATTATAAAACTGAGAAAAACAAAGACTTCATTCATGTCACCATACTCAGAAAAATACACCTAAAGTAAGCTAGGTCTAGCTTAAAGGGTTAGCACTTCATGCTAGTCCAATTAAGGGAAAGAAACAACAAAAATAAGGCTTGGGAGCCTTTAATACAAGTGACATAGTAACTTTTAGACCAATAAGGCTTGTCCTCAAGGTTTGTAGAGGTGAATGGGTTGAATTTGTTTTCATGTTGGGCTAGTTGGTTAGAGTTAAGTGGAGGGATAAGGGTTGTATTAAGGTTCTCAAAAAGTGAAGTTGGAATAGGTATACGTGTCATAACCGAAATGGAAAGGGTGGGTAGTGTAGTGGAATTACATTGGATAATGATAAGGTTGTATCAAGCTTTATGGGTGCCTGTGCAGAGTTTGAAATTGTTGTCGAGGGTTTGTGTCACGTGGGAAAGTAGGTATAGGTAATAATTGTTGGGAAATTTAGATGGTTGGATTGGAGGCAGAGGGACATTTAACAATTGAGATGTGGTGGAACTATTTGGAATGAGAAAGTGAGTTAAAATGGGGAAAGTGTTTGTGTAGAAAAAAATAAGAGAGACGAGGTAATACTAATGTTGTGGGTGAACGTAGCAACTCACTGTATTTTTTATTGAATAAGAGATGACCTTTAAATAGCCATTTTACAATGTACTGAACTAACAAGAAGATAATAAAATATCTTATCAAATCAAAACTTATCAAAAAACTATCTTATCTAATCTGAAACAAAATAACTCAAAAGATAAATCAAATAATTCCAGATAACTTAAATCGAATATCTCGGAATCTCTAGAAATTTAAGATTTTCCAACAAAACTCCCCCATAATCTTAAATTTTTTTTTTCGATGTCTCTTCCACCAGAGCGCGATACTCCTCCGCGTACCATGGCCCCGCGAGCCACGCGACGTCCAGCACCCCCGGCGCCGCGGTGGCCGATGCCTCTTTTGGGACACAAAAATACCTGTTGTTCTTTGGTCCACCTCTAAACCCAGAAAATACTTCATGATGCCCAAATCGGTCATCTCAAACTCCCTCTTCATCACTTCTTTAAACTCCTCAACTAGCTCAGCTTTGCTTCCCATCTCACTCTTCTCAATTGATCTGATCTCCTCATCCATTTCTTTCTTCCATCTCTCATCAAGTACCGCCTCTTCAAATTTTATGTCTTCTGTTCCTGTCAATAGACATACTACTTGTAACTCGTCAGTGGATTTGTAGATGTCTTGCAAGCTCCGAGTTCTAAGCTGCTCAGGTTCATCATCTTCCTCGGAATGCTCATTGGTCCTATCCGAGCTTCTCCCTGTTATCTCTGAGCTCTCTCTCAGAGTTCGAGCTCCCCGAAGTCTCTTCGGAGTTACTCCAGCTCCACTCGCTTTCCTCATCTACCTGGACATCTCGGCTTACCAGAATTTTTCCTGTAACAGGGTTGTACAATTTGTAGGCTTTTGCCTTTTCATCATACCCGATCAAGATATACTTCTTGCTCCTATCATCAAGCTTCGTTCTGAGCTGAGCTGGAACATGACCGTAAGCAAGGCTTCCGAAGATCTTGAAGTGATGTATACTCGGTTTTTGTCCACTCCATGCTTCTTGAGGTGTCACATCATCCAATTTTGAATGTGGGCACCTGTTCTGTATATATATAGCACACTGCACTGCCTCTGCCCAAAACTTCTCAGGCATATCCTTCCCTTTAAGCATAGCTCGGACCATATCAAGAATAGTCCGATTCTTTCTTTCAGCCACTCCATTTTTTTGTGGTGAATATGGAGCTGTGAGAAAACGTTTTATACCTTGCTCTTCACAGTATTCCATAAACTCTGCCGATGTGAATTCTCCACTTCTATCCGATCTCAAAGCTTTAATTTGCTTGTTAGTCTCTTTCTCTTTGTTCAACTTCCTTTCAAGATGAATGAAGATATCAATCCAACCAAAGCTAGTCATCCTGGAATGTCACCAAGTGAATACCAAGCAGCCAAAGAAGAATGTCAACAGTTGTTAGAACAAGGACTCATTGAGCCCACTAACTCAAGCTGGGCATGTGCGGCATTTTATGTGAATAAAAGAGCTGAACAAGCCAGAAACAAGAAGAGACTCGTCATTGACTATAGGCCTCTGAACATGTTTCTAAAAGATGACAAGTTTCATCTTCCAAAGATATATTCACTTCATGCCTACATAAAGGATGCATACTACTTCTCAAAGTTCGATCTCAAATCTGGATTTTGGCAAATAGGCCTAGATCCTAAAGATCGACCAAAAATAGCTTTCTGCATTCCCAATGCTCATTACCAATGGACAGTCCTTCCATTTGGCCTGAAAGTTGCTCCTTCCTTGTTTCAGAAGACTATGGTTCGAATCTTTGAACCTATTCTGCATAGTGTTTTGATCTACATTGATGACATACTACTATTCTCTCCTAAAGAAGAAAGTCATAAAGCACTCCTACAACAGTTCCATCAAATCTGTGAACAATATGGAGTAATGCTTTCATCAAAGAAATCTGAAATTGGAGTCAAAGAGGTTAATTTTCTTGGAATGCATTTTTCTTATGGCAAGTATGTCCCTCAACCTCATATTGTAGAAAGACTCCCAGAATTTCCAGAGAAAGACATGACCGTTAAGGAGATTCAACAGTTTTTGGAAATCATTAATTATGTCAGAAACTTTATTCCCAACATTGCTCCTCACATTTCACAATTATCAAGGCTATTAAGAAAGAATCCCCCTCCATGGGGACCAGCCCAAACAGAAGCAGTAAAAACTCTGAAGAAGATTGCTCCAAATCCTCCTCCGCTAAAAATACCAGGCGAAGGAAAAAGAATCTTGCAAACAGATGCAAGTGATCATTACTGGGGTGCGATTTTGATTGAAGATGTTCAAGGACAACAGTTTTTTTGTGGATTTGCTAGCGGGAAGTTTAAAGATTCAGAGCTACATTATCACACCATCTTTAAAGAAACCCTAGCAGTCAAACATGGAATTCAAAAATTTGATTTCCATCTCAGAGGACATCAGTTTGAAATACAACTAGACAATTCTGCATTCCCACGAATGTTAGAATTCAAAAACAGGGTTCCTCCCAATGCACAGATACTCAGGTTAAAGGAATGGTTTTCCAGGTATGACTTTACAGTCAAACATATCAAAGGAAAAGACAACTTTATCCCAGGTTACCTCTCCAGACCAAGAAAACCTGAACAACATCATATAAGTATAATATCTTCTGGTTATACTTATCCAATGATCTTAATGAATGAACCATCATCCTCATCCTCTCAACCTAACCCTTGGAAAAAACAATTTCCTCCAGAAATCACACCAGACTTCCCTGTTTCTCCTACAACCTTGCAAAATTTTGCCAGACAACACATGCTCTCTTATTTGGCAGCCTCCCTACACAAACACCATATTCCACCCAAACCAAACTAGTTTAATCCAGACACACCCTTTTTAAATATCTTTGGCATTTTATTGGGAAAAACATTTCTCGAAGATGACATGTGGTATTTGTGGAGTGTCTCTTTACTCCATCAATATCCATTAATCTTTCCTACCCAGGAAATGATTGCTTTTCTGCAGAACACAGAAAATGAAGGTTCATTACTATGGGAATTTCTGTCCTAGTATGAACCCATACAAAAATGGATTGAAGACCTAGAAGGTGAAAAAAGAAGGATTCGACAACATCATGATCCTAGCCAATGGAATTTAGAGAGAATGGTTACCATTGCCATTATTCATCGTCCATATTTTAAGCATCCAAAAACGAAATTATTATGGACACAAAACCAAGTTCAAATGTGGTCTTCATATCCCAATCTTCACATGTTTACTCAAGAAGACCAACCACCTTTTTATCAAAGCGAATTGATCATTGAACTTCACAGGTTAAATGGAACTTTTGCTGAAGTTATTAACAGAAGTTCTACATGTGTTAACTTAAAACCACTGGATATCATTTGTCCTCCTGAGCCAGATATACATTATTACAGTGTTGCTAAGAAAGTGTGTCCCCCAGTCCA